TGTTAAATAACATATATATATATATATATATATATATATATATATATATATATATATATATATATATATATATATATACTGGTGTATATATTACATACATAATAACACTTCATTTATTATCAAAGTAATTTATGTAATTTTGTCTGTGGAATCCACGCCAAGTCAATTGTGCTTCGTTATAGAGTAAATCCGCAGCATTTTCTTGGAGACGTTCGGGAGATATTTGTTAAGTTGATGACACAACCTCATGAAATAGCAACAAATGAGTGGACCACCGCTGTAACACTGCACTAGCAGATCGTTCTGAAGTATCTAAAAAATTGCTTTCATTTTTTTCTTTGTCTGCATCCAAAGGCTTCAACTTTCTTTAATCTTGACCAATAAGAAATCGCAAACTCAGTATCAAAGTCGGTATGATGTTGACTATCATTACACAAGTTGGGGGATCAACTTCATTATGTGTCATTTCTCTGTATGTTATCCACTTACATATATATGTGTCTCAATATGAGGTAATTACTGCATAATATACAACCGTTTCAATGCCGTTATACAATAATTTTTTTTCTTAACAAAATAAAATACATTGCAAAAGCCAATTTATTATATAATACGTCATAGTTTACTATAACGCATGTTAATTTGTATTTGAATATTGTTTCAGCTTGAACCGCATAGACTGGTCGTATATAGGTGTGTATATATAATATTATATATACAATATATATTATATATACAATATAAATATGTATATACACAACTGAGTACCGACATTCTAGGTTTTATGATCTTTACATCAAACTTAAAAAGAATAGATTATACATGTAATCATGGAAAACTAAATTAAATATTTACATACAAGAATTATTGCAAATTAGAATAACTCAGATTTGTCTGCACTTTCGTAGAAACTTAACATGTGTAATTAGTAGAGCCACGAGTATTTCGCGAATTCATTCGGAGGCGAGGGAGACTCCAAACACTCGTTCTTTCCTCCTACTGTTGCGATTGGACGACAGTTCTTTGGACTTTATCACAGCAACCAATAAGCAAACGATAATGTTTCGAGTGTATAGAGGACTGCCCGGCCTAGCTTGCTGCCAACTCAATCCGCGAAATACTCGTGACTCTAGTAATTAGTAATTTATCATACTTATAAACAGGAGTAAGATGAACTTTTATTTCACGTTTTAGTAAAGCCTTGCGTTTCATAAAGCCAACACAACTCAAAACGCTACAACTCAAAACGCTATGTCTGAGCAAATTTTTTTAAAATATTAATGTGAATTACACGTCTTTGCAAGTAATTTCCATGCAGAAATTAGGGGCCACGGTTGTGTGGTGGTTAGACTACTACGTTCCCACCCAGACAAACCCGGCTCTATTCCCAGCGGGGTCGCTTTCGGATTCTCGCACGTGGTGATCGTGCCGGACGATGCAGCTGGTCGGCGGGTTTTCTCGGGGATCTCCCGTTTCCTCCGCCCTTCCAATCCGGCGCTGCTCCATACTCACGACAATCACCATCATCTGTTCTCAAGACCTCGATGTTAAGAGCAACCCAAATCTCTCAACTCACTCACATACGGTGTGCCAGAAACAGACAGAACGCATAGTCAGGAGTGAGTTTAGTAAAGTAGGATGCACCTCAAGTAACTTTGCCTTGGTGAAAGGATTTCCTCTAACCTTCACCCCCTCTCCGGCAGCCCGCCTCTCACCCTATGTCTAACCTCCGCTGTGTAGAGCGAGCCTTCACCTAGCACCGCCGAGACTCCTCAGGCCAGGGCTTTTATCTAAATTAAACAGGCGGAGACGCGATTTTCATTTCCTGACCAAGACGAGGCCCGCGCCGCCCGCTGATGTTATCCCTGAGTTGCGAGCAGCTGCAAGGTTGGGGGAGACCCCAACTTGACGGCGCTGCCCCGCCGACCTACGGTGCGTGTGCGCCCAACCTACAAGCCCTGCTATGGTCATTACATGCCTGGTTCACATGTACGCCGATTACGCAGAACATATAGAGCGGAAGACTACAACAGCCGATCAACAACAACAAGGAGTTTATTATTGCTTCAGTTCCTAGCGTTAAGCCATCACTGAAGTCTAGATGTAGTATTTTCTGGGTGTCTTGAGTATTTAGTGATACTGACCCGCTTCATGAAGCCTCCTTGCCCAGGCCGCCCAGGAGCCTCAGCAAGAATCGCGCTGGGGACTCTCCGATCTCAACCACACCAAGCTGACCAGTATCCGCAATATTGGTCGTATTGCGAATAATTGTCCACTATCAGTTCTATAGTCCGGTTTTGAATACAGCCTTCCAGTCCTTACGGACTGGTCGGGGTGAATGACCAGAAGCCGTCCACGGTTTATGCGCGACGCGCAGAAAAATTTGAGCTCACGCCGATATTTTCTGCTCACGGAAAGAGCAGACATCGCCGATATTACCCAGAAGTCAGATGGTTCACATATTTTATGCTACTAATTTCTTGAATAGTCGACGTATGTTGATGTAAATGTATAGGATATATTTTATTGAAAGTATTTATAATGAAATACGTGAAGATAAACTTTTCCCAACATTTGCCTTAAATAGACGTAAATTGAAAATGAACCGAAAGAAAACACTAAAGTGTAAAGTATTTTTAGACATAAAAAAAATTACGATCTCTTGAAAATTATTTAGTAAATAAATCGCACTATAGTGGAATTGATAAACTAGAGTAGAAAGACGACAGCATCTAGTATGTTATCTATAACTTGTTTTAGATTATTGGCGTTAAAAATCACGAATTAGGCAGCAAAATGGCTACGCGGAAATCTGCTTACATGAGAACAACCATTAGTTCTGCCTGCTCTGTCTGTTTGGTGTAATCGGCGTACACGTGAACCAGGCCTTACTCTGTGCCAGCTACGAGTGAGTGAGTGAAAATATTTTAGGCGACTCTTAACAACGAGGTCTTGAGAGCCGATGAGGGTGAAGAGAGGTGAGTACGGAGCAGCGCCAGAATGAAAGGGCAGGGGAAACAGGAGATCCCCGAGAAAACCCGCCGACCAGCGGCATCGCCCGGCACGATTCCCACTTGCGAAAATCCGGAGTGACCCGGTCGGAGATTGAACCCGTTTCGCCTAAATTGGAGGCATGTATTCTAACTAATCAGCCACTGCGGCCCCATGCTAGCTACGAAGGCCGCTTTTTGGCAGTTGGGAGGCAGGCGGAACATAATGTCCTCTGATAGGACAGGGTTCGTCTAGACCATTTCTATCAAATGGACAAAACAAACACAAAGTGGCTTTCGTGTGTCAGAACAGCTCAAGTGGAAGGATACTTAGCCAAAACAACAACACTGAGAATACTTTAGAACTGTTAAAATGTGGCTTTCGTAACTGAGACAGAGTATATATAGTACCAGATTCCATACAGTCCCCCACCTCCTCACTTGGTGGATGGCGACCGTTAATATGAGAGTAACATTCCATGAATTCGAGCAACCACTCGAACAAACTTATTAATTACAACATCAGTCCCAGATTCAACAGTCACTCTATATGCTGTTCACTGTAAAATGGCCACTTTTGAAAGCCCTGCTTAAGATCTACTTGTATATACGTTGTGTATTCCTCCGCCTTATGTAAAATTAACATTGCCAAGGGCCTTGTCACATTATTCATGCGTCGGTAAAATGAAAATGTGAAATTATCAAGAAAGTAAATATTTTACATATGTTCTCATTTTTACACTTAGATGAATTAAAAAAAAAAAAGAAACAGAAAGCGAAATAAATGCCATCAAGTTATCACAAGTGGCTGCCTAACACTTTTTAGTCAACATTAAGATATATAACTACTTGCCATCCATCGTTACCAAATTTGCTGGGCGAAAGTCACTCAGTGCGGCCATTAAAATGTATGCAGACAGCGGCAGTGACTTCTTTCTAAGGTTCATTTCTAAAGTGCGCTGGCTTGATCGTGAATGTCCTTTAACTAGAAATATTACCATTATTACTACGTAGGAGTAATAATCAAACTATCTTGCTCACCTCCCGTCATCGAAGCTGGCGTCCACTGTAAAACCTTGCGCAATATATGCCATGCGTCCTTGGTTACAGGTTGATAGCTTATTTTGAGTTTCGTCGTCTGCGGACATAACCAAAACTCCGTTTCTATAGTGTGTCTCACTCTTAGATTGCAGTGGGTAGCTAAACAAAAAACTTTATACATATGCACTACTGTACAATTTGACAATTTTTGTTACGTAATATTATACGCGTGAACTTATTCTGCCAACACAAAATAACCTCTTGGCTGTTGATAATTGTAGCCATCTGTAAACAGCTCCCGTCATGCACACTTTACTGCAGTCTAAGGCTGAGACGCAATATAGAAAAGAAAAAGAACATTTATTTATGCAAGTTTTCGCGAAAAATAAATAAATAAATAATGGTTAAATTGTAAACGTTAAAAACAAAAAAAAAATCCTTGAACATAAATAACAGAATGCTTTATTAATCAACTCTCTCCGTGCTCTAACAATACTGAATATCGTAACTGAAATGTAAAAAACAAATAACGTTACGGCGAAAAAGTAGCTCAACTGTGTATTACAATAAAAATCATAAAATTAGTTTTATAATCTTCAGATGGCATCAAATTTATGATTTAACATTGCAGATTTTTTTTCTAATGCGCACGCGTCGACTGGAATAACACCCTGAAAAGAAAACGTTCACATTTCTGTATTGTCAGTTTTTGAGGTTATGTTTCCGGACAGTAGTTTTAGCCACGCTACCGTGTGATCACAGTTCGTGTTAATAGCTACGGAAATAAGATCTGTAAATACAACTAGACCAACACAACGAAACAACGCCAGTCCTCTTATAGTCAGTGTTAATTTTTTCAGGGGCAGTTTATTTGCTGACGTTATCGGTTTTCAGCTCACTGATGCACGGACGTTGTAAAAACAAGCTCCCTCAAACCTTTAGCATGAGAATGACGTCGCGTAGGCGTCAGTCAGGCCCGAGCGGTCTAAGGCGCTGCGCTCAGGTCGCAGTCCACCTCCGTGGGCGTGGGATCGAATCCCACTCCTGACAGCGCGCGTTTTGCCGTAAAGACGGTTCTGAGCACTTTTGAAATCAACCTTAGAAAAAAAAGTCACTGCCCCCCACATGCGTATATCTTAACGGGCGCACTGAGTGGCATGCGCCTAGTAAAGTTGTTAACGATGGATGGAAAGTAGTTCCATATCGTAACGTCGAATGTAAAGTGTTAGATAACAATTTGTTATAACTTAAATTATATATTTCGCTTTAAGTTTTTTTAATGCATAGAAGAGTGAAAAATTAACAGATTTGTAAAATAATTACTTTCCTAATAATTCCACAGTTTCACTTGACCAATGCATGAATAAAGTGATGAGGCCCATTGCGATGTTAATTTTACATAAGGCGGAAGAATACACAACGTGCATACAAGCAGATCTTAAAAGCAGGGATTTCAAAAGTGCTAATTTTACCGTGAACGGCCTATAGTTAACTTTGCCTCAGTCTGAAATCCCTTCATTACCAGCCTACCATTAGACTGTTCAGGTGAACTGAGCACTTTTGAAATCCCTGTTTAAGATTTACGTGCATGCACATCATGTATCCTTCCCCATGGGTAAAATTAACATTGTCATGGGTCTGATAACTTTCTTCATGCGTCGGTCAAGTGAAAGTGTGGAATTATTTGAAGTTTGCTAATTCTTACACGTACATGCAATAAAAGAAAATAACGCGAAAGAAATAATTTCCAGTAACCACAAATGATTACCTAGCACTTATAGTTCAACATTAAAACAAGGGACTATTATGCATCCATCGTTGCCAACTTTACTGGGCACATTCCAGCAATTTTACCCGTTAAAATATATGTAAGGTAGGGGCAGTGCCATTTTTTAAAGGTTGATTTCAAAAGTACTCATTTTACCGTGAGCATGCGTATAACAAGAGTGAAAAACCTAAGCAATAATACGTAACTAATCGATGTACAAGAGCACTGTTTCAAATTTTTAAAGAGTTTACGAGACACGTATGCTAAACCCGTTCATTACACATACATAACATATAACGATATTTACTATCATTAGTTTAATATGTTGATGAAGTACTACGTAGTTAGGATTCATCAAAGTCTTATAATAGCAAGTTAGTTTTATGTAGCGAAGAAATTATACGAAATTATAAAAGCATGAAAAAAGATTTCTTTCCTCGTTGAAATTTAAAGCTTATAACGCTTATTGTGATCATGAACCAATATTCATTACTTCGAAATAAGGTTGTGTGCTTGTGTGCTTTATAAGTTAAAGAAATATTAGTTAAAGTCTGTGATTTCATGCTTCATTAATTGGTAATTTTATATGATGCGAAACCCTTTTCAGCTTACTTCCCGAAGGAAAGTAAAGTTTATGAGAAGACTTTTTCCTGTATGTGTGTATGTGTGTATATGTATGTGTAGGTGTGCGTATCTGTGCACTTCTGTGTGTGTCTGTGTGTTTGTGTGTGTGTGCGCCCCCCTCCCCTCTTTTGTTTACGCGTGGACAGAATTTCACCAAACTTAGTACATATATATTGCTTAGTAAGGACATCTGAATTTTATACTTTTCGACCCCGTCAGGCACTTACGTTCAAAATGGCACTCGATTTTACTCAACACTCTCCGTACTGTATACTTTCGCAGTGTTCCTCGTTTTTTTTTTTTTTTTTATATTAACATACTGTGATCAGCAGCAAAGATAGAAATGTGGAACGGCGAAAGGAATGCAAGTGCCTTTCGAACACTAAGAGTGTTATCAGGACGAATAAACACATCGTATAGTTTGCGCACGAGGCTGTAGTAACATATATAGGTACAGAGGAATTTGATGTAGTTGAGGTAAAGACCACAAGATAAGCATTTTGTGTACCAAACGAAGTGGTGGAAATTGAGAAGTCAAAAAATCTCTTTCATTTTCCACCTTTCGTTTACTATCTTAGGAAATTGTGTTACTACATTGTTTTTGTTATAACATTTTACATTTCACTGCGTTATATACTATTGTTACGCGTAGCAGAATTGCACTCTGCTGCACGCAAACGCTCGACCGCTTACCGCAGCTGTAGTTCAACAGGCTCTGCTTTGTAGCACACAACTTTGGCCTGACCGCTCACCAGACCTTCCCCCAATGCAGCACATGCGATGAACATCTGGAACAGTGCCTGCTGTGGTGCCCACTAATCTGAAGCATTGATTCCTAGCTAACTCATGCGATTGGTGCGCCAGTCAGCATGAGCTAATAGACTTACATTTAGTGCCTGGTTTTCCACTTAGTATTCAGTACCCGAGTCAACAGAACAAGTTAGAACACGGCTTGCCGTGTAGTGGATTGAAATTCCGCCATTTGCAAGCCTTGTTCTTGCCGACCAGAGCAAGAAATTCAAGAGTTCGACGTTTCTTCTTCCCAACAGCTCAGTAAACTTTACTTACCAACTTCCACAATAGACGTAGTGAGCATAACAGCTGAAAATAGAAGGTTTATTTCTGAAGACGTCGTGCAACCATTTCAAATTATTTTTTTTACAGATTTCCTCTCTTCAGGCTTCAGAGTGTGTGGCGAGAAGGTACTCAGGAGAATGCCGCATCAGTTAAGATATTTTTAAATATTTGTTTGTTTGTGCTGTCGAATGTTTTATATCTTTATTGTGATCATTTATCCATGTGGAGGACACTACACGTCATTTAAGCACAACGTTAGACAATCCAGCACGTATGTATTTCAGTTAACAATCAAGGCGGTGCTCTGATTTGGTATAGGGAAACACATGTTAATGGCATTAAACTTTCTAAAGCCAATTTTGAAGTTACAAACTTGGAAAAAAAAAAAAAAAAAAAAGTGTGAGAAATGATAAATACTCTCAATCTTTGCATCGAGGCAAATACAACAGTAGTAGGATAATGGCGAGTTGGACACAAGGGATTGGGGAATCGGATTCGGATTCGGGGGAGCCGCCATCTCGTGACGTCACCTGACCGCCATATTGGATGTCAATGACCTTCCACCCCCAACCCGTGTGACCTTTGACCTTAACACCGAGGACCTTTGGTACCAAAAACCACTAACAATTTTTTAAAGATTCCAAGAAATCCTCAAAAAAATCCTAAAAAATTCTTTAAAAATTTCGAAATAATTTATTATTAAAAATTATTTAAAAAATTAACAAAGATCTTTAGAAATGGCCCATTTTTTCCAGAAATTCTGACAGGGATCAGCGATTCCGGTGAATGGAATCAGTGACTCCGAGCCAGGTGACCGGGCCCAGGACCTATGACCTATGACCTCGACCTTTGATCTCTGACCTTGAAAATGCAAAAATCCAACTAAAAATCTTAAAGAATAACAAATGAATTCACGAAAAACTAAAAAATCGATTTAAAAATTTAATAAGAATTTATTATTAAAAACATCAATTAAAAAATCGTTAATTTTTTTTATAAAATTGTTTTAAAAATTTATTTTTATAAAATGTTATTTCAAAATCTTCTTAATTAAAAAGGCTTTAACACCATCAGCCATTTTTCCCTTTTTCCCTTGGAATTTCCCTTTCCCCCTTAAAAATTTCTCTTAAAAAATTTACTTAAAAAACTTACATTTCCTCAGGTCTACCCGAAGACCACCAATTTTTCACCTCTGTTCGAATCCAGCAGACGACTGACTCCCTTGCACCCACTCTCCTCACCTATACTCATTAACCCATCTTGATTTTTCATTCGCCATTTGTTGACATGCTACTGGAGGCAGCCATCTTTGTTTACATGCTACTGAAGGCAGCCATCTTTGTTTACATGATACTGGGGACAGCTATATTTGCTTATATGTTATTAGATACCGCCATATTTGTTTTTTCGTTCGTGGGTTTTTATACATTACTGGAGGCCGCTCCCCTTGGTAGGTGACCGCCATCTTAGTAGTTGACTATTGCAATTTTCCATCCTATGTTTAAAAAATATATTTTTTTTCGAATAAATGGTATAGATACATGAATGATGCATGACTGACTACACACTTAATTTATTAAATATTTTAAATACATATTGTTGTTATTCAAACTTAACAGCCAATAGGAGGAAACGACACGCAAAAATTAATAAAAAACAAATAATTTCATTATAATTATTTTCAGAAGAAAGCACATCATCACATCATCTGATATAACCCCGATCCTTAAGTGCTCTCATAATCAAAACCACCTCTTTCATGGTCGAGTAATCCCCACTTGTTGCTTATCAAGCAAATATTTTAGTCTGTCTAAAAGTTTGTTGGGATATTCGGTAAACATATCGTCAGTATACTCGATGGCTTCTGCCTTCTTCACATCACTTGTGGAAGGAAACTCGCTGGGGAAATGTGCAGGACCGTCGAGGGAATAATCATCGTCTTCAACACTATCACTGTCGTCATATTCATCATCAATGCTGTCTTTATGATCGGCTTCACTTCCTGCTGCATCCTCAATATCTAGTTTACTTTTCTGTGTAGCAGGAGTTGCATGTTTATCAGTATTTAGAGCTGATAACCGTTTATTATGAAGTTTTTCGACTTCACGCGGACATCTTGCAAGTGTGCCTTCCGCACAAACCGACTGGACTGCACTCATTCCGACTTTAGCATTAACTATGGCGTCATTATCGTCTGCGGAAACGGTATCCATAGATGTAGCAGAAGGTATTGATGTCATCACTTGCTGGTTCCCAGTAGATGAACCCTCTCGACAGACAGCGATGAACTGATCGAGCCCACGCGATGGAGCGATGGAGCGATGGAGTTATGGAGCAGCCTATCCCGTCCAGTTTGCGATGATGTAGGTCACAGCCCCATGCTCGTCGAGGTCAAAAGGCAGGCCTTCATATTCGCATATATCGCTCTATCACTCCATCGCTCCATCTCTCCGTCACTCCATCACTCCATCGCTCCATCACTCCATCGCAATCTTTCGGTTTGTACCCTCTATCCATATGTATAAAAATTACATTCGTTCACCAACTGTATGATGCATGTATATATTAGTTTATATATGCA